TTAAATTGCAATGTGAGTGTAAGTAATGGTTGACTTGGTCATTCATGAATAAAACATGGTCAATCATAAAAAGCTAATTAACTTTTCCAAAAGTTCAAACAAAGAAAACACAGTTTAGTGTAAAATACTTACCTAGCCTTGACCTTGATCCCTTTTAAATATTTTAATGCATTTTTGTTGTTGTCGTTTTACATTGACATTCTACAAGTTTGACTCATGCAACTTATTTCAATATTTTGCTACACATATGCAAATACATTTTTGCACAAATTTTTTTGCTGACCTCATGAGCTCAAAAACTGCCTGTGGCCATTTTTCATGTGCATGTTAGCACCTTATTTGTGAAGAACCTCATGTAAGAGAATATTGGTGTGAAAGTCAAACCAGCAACTTCCTTTTGCATGGCAGTAGTGTCCACCCAATATATGGTGCAGTATATAAACTTTATTCTATATAGTTGACTTGCATAACGCAAAGAGATCTGCTCTTTGTGAAAAAGGTAAGCTTCAAATGTTTATAATTTCTAAAAAAAAAAATAAAAAAAAAACATAAAATCAAATCACTTACATTAACCTATCTGAAAATCTCATTCTTTTTTAAATTGTTTTTTAAATGTATTTTTTAATGTATATAGATAAACAATACAAAGTCTAATGCAGTTTTTTACTCTCACTTTTAGTTGCTTTCCTTATGTGTTCAAGTGTTTGCCATGCTGGTTATCTGTGCAGCCGACACTGCGAACAGAGATATTTCAGTAAGCATTGATTTGGTTAATATAATAAAGTTATAAACAAATAAGACCAACATTTTACAATATTCGTACATTATAATTGCCGTTGTACAGTAACTGTGTAATGTAGCAGAAAACGTTATTTCACGATATTTTATTGCAGTATACATTCAGAGCTTGGAATATGGTTGACCAGCCTTTGCAGGAGCAACTTGCTGTTGTGTATAAGGTAGTGGTGAATTTAAAATGCTTTGGTGTCCTAAGCATTTCAATTTCTAATGGGAGAGCGGTATGAGCATTTTTTTTCTCTGTATTTATTTAGGAGATGGAAAGCTTGAAATATGAACAAGCAATAATGAAACAAAAGCAAGAAGCCTTGAGCCAGGTAAAATTAAAGCCGATAATTCAAGATTTTTTGCTGGTTGAAAAAGAAAGAAAGAAAGAAGGAAAAAGAAAGAAAGAAATGCAATAATTTTAATTTTAATCTGCTAAATTGTATTGGACATAAAAAGAAGTTTCAAGCAAAAGTTGTAAAAAATTCAATACATAATGAATAATATATGCAGATTAATTGTTCCATAATATAAATTTCAATGTCAAAATATGGTCCAATCTATCTAAATTTATCCTACTGTGAGACAAAGATTTTCTTCAGAAACTAATATGAATGTTTTGTTGTAGGCATTACCATACTGTTCACAAAAGCCTATTGATACAGATGTGGAGATGAACTTGACATCACTACAAACAGGTAAATTAAAAAGAAAGAAAGAAAGAAAGAAAGAAAGAAAGAAAGAAAGAAAAAAAGAAAGAAAGAAAGAAAGAAAGAAAGAAAGAAAGAAAGAAAGAAAGAAAGAAAGAAAGAAAGAAAGAAAGAAAGAAAATCCCTGTATGCTTTAAGTTTGTTTACATATTTATTTATTCATAATAAGAAAAATTTATTATTAATATTACTATAATTATTATTACATTTTATAATTACGTTTAAAATGATTCAAATTAATTACTATTAGTGGATAAATAGAAAAATTTATGGATGCCATTAAGTAATTAGAAAAAAATATTCAATAGGTGAAGGATTGAAAATGTAAGTGTTTTAATGAATTATTTTGAAGAGTTTGGACACACTTACTTTATTAATACTATTCAGTCCATACCATCCAGTTTCTTTTTTCTCAAAAAAGGACTGTTTATGTCTGTCTTTAATAGGCAGCAACCATTTGCTGTATACCCTCACCCAGGATGGAGATGGAGATGAAGGCTCTGGTGAGGATGACAGTCACGAGGCCTCTGACCCCTGCAATCACTATACAGCGCTGGACCAAGCCTGGAGAGCCACAAACTATACACCACCAAGAATGTTGCTTGTGACCGTCGTGTGCAGTGGAAGGGCTGGTACCGTCTCTTCTATCGTGGGAAACCCATTCAGATGCCAGAGAGGTGTGTGAGGAAAGAAATGTGTGGCACGCATGCTCCACTGTGGCTCGTCGGCGGTCATCCCCGGAAACGGGACGGGGTTGTCACCCGCAAGGTGTGTGGAAACTGGAAAAACAACTGCTGCTTGTTCAAATCTCCTCTCATTCAAGTGAAAGCATGTAGGGGAAACTACTACGTTTACAAGTTTGTCAAACCGGTAGCTTGCCATCTGGCATATTGTGCAGGTAAGATATGATGCACATGGATTTTCAGAGAAATTTTAGGTATTTATATATAAGCTATTGACTGTTGTACACCATCCTTTCAGATACTAACACAATTGTCTGTGGAAAGTGCAGAAAAACTGAGTCTTGCATCAGCAGAGACAAAATCACCTGGATGTGTAAGAAAAACAAACTGAGAAGTGAGTAATTTCTCTTTATCAGTATTTAAATTACTAAACACTGTGAAATGTAGTTCTTATTATTACAATTATCTTTCTTTTAAGGAAAATAATGCAGCATTTTCTTTCCTTGTGATTTGTAGTGAAAGTAAACGTCCATTTTTTTGTCACCTACCCGGCCAGCATCTCTGGAAAAGTGAACAGGATTATGTACAGGAAAGTGTATGTGAATCAAGGCGGGGCTTTCAACACTCGTACTGGGATATTTAGAGCTCCAGTTTCTGGCGTCTATCAGTTCTTCTTCTCCACACAGACTGGGGGGAGTGGGACAACTGATCTATGGCTGGTTGTAAATAATTACTGGGTGGCTGTGTCTCATAGCAATGTCCAGGGCTCCAACTCGGTTGGGAATCTCTCTACATACATGACGACTCTGCGCAAGGGTGCTACGGTTTATGTGACCCATAACCGTGGCCGCTCTTGGGCTAGTAATGCACCCAACACCATCGTTTTTGGTGGTTCATTGCTTATGTTGAGAAAAATCTAAGGCAATGTTAAAGTCATCTGAGACAAAATTCAGAACATTTATAGTTTAATTAGAGGTCAATTTAATAGTACCAACTAGTTGGATTGACTTATGTAATATATACAATGGTAAAACATGTTCTGCTAGATCTGTTTATTCATTGCTTTAACTATTTTTAAACGTGTCTTGCTGAGAGATATATTTCAAATGCAAATACCCTTAAAGGGTTAGTTCACCCAAAAATGAAAATTAGCCCATAAATTACTCACCCTCAAGTCATTCTAGGTGTATATGACTTTCTTCTTTCAAGCATTTTTGGGTGAACTAACCCTTTAACATTTTTCTAAGTGCTTTTTTCTATAAAAATTACTTTGCCGTAAATCTTCTGACTAAACAACAACTTTTTTGTCATTATGTATATATATATATATATATATATGCATGTATATACATCATACTTATAATTACTACAATAACAATAATAATACTGTAAAATAAAACAACATTTGTTAAAAATCCCTTGCTGAAATATATATTTCAAATGAAAATACTCTTAACATTCGCTTTTTTTCTATTAAAAATTGCCATAAAACAGTTTGTCTTGTATGTATGTAATATTTTTAATTATATTTCAACTTACATGTTATATTTTGTATGTAATATTATCAAAAAATATTGATTTTATAATTTTACATTTTTTTAATATTTCTTTTTATAAAAAATATTTTGTTTAAATATAATTAAAATATTGTATAGTAATGATAGCAATAATATATAATACTAAATAATACACAATTTAATTATTTAATTATATTTAAATATAAAAATATTGTGTGTAAATAATTTTTTTAACAAATTTTTTTTCTTTTACACTATAATTATTGTTATTGTAGTAGATAACTACTATGATAAACTAGTATGTAACGTTCAGGAATAGTATTGTCCCAGTCTCCGAGAGACACAGGTGGGGGCAGCAGAGTCATCCTATTGTATTTAATCAGGGAGGATGTCACTTGGCCACTGATAGCTGCACAGAGCAACCTGAAGCCATCTTCAGTCCTCATTAAACTTAAACACCTTGTGTCTTGAGGTCACTACAGACATGTTGACAGCATGTGCCAGGCCAAAATCATTTTAAAAAAGTAAATGTGTTTTATTAACGTTAATTTAAACCATTATTGTGCTTACATGTGAGCACCTGTAAATGTGGTTTTGGTTAGTTCTGTTGTCAGATTTGTTGTAATTAAGTAAAATGCTGAACAACCCTGAGACTCACTCAAATGGTATTTTATCCATTTCCTTCTATGGCCAGAAGACAGACGGACATTCCAGTGATATTAAGAAACTCACTGATGATGACTAATAGTAGTATAAAAGGAATGCTAACTTTGCACAATTAAAATGTGACCATCCCCTTAAAATTACTGATAATTATAATGTTAACTTTGGCAAATGATTTTAACATTTAGGCTACTCCTTTTTTAAACTAAGTATGCATTGTATGTTACAAAAACAATTCAATTTCATTTGTAAAGTTACGAGATAAGCTACTAGTACGTATTCCTAAAGTGGAATTCACTCCTTTCTAGTAGTCGCTATCCAAATAGTGACATGCTATTTCCTACTGGTAAGAAACGCACATTTTCGCTATTTAATTCTATGGCGATTTGAGTTTCAGCGCAATTTTCACTTCTGACTAGTTTGAATTTGATTGTTGCAAATTTTGGATTACGTAGGCCTAATAAAAATAAGTATGCTACTAGTAACAAAAAAAAGTTGATAGGTTTAAGTAACATATATGAATAATGCTGGCCATAGTCGACTCGACACTACCTTTGTAACTTTATCAATTGATGTTTAGAGGTAGGCTAAGCTCGCGCCCCACAGGGGAGGGGCTTCGGCGAGACGGGCAGGATACCGAAGCCACAGAGTGTTTAGGCGAGACGAGTGAAGCTCGTGGAAAAAGGGATGAGAGGTGCGACGCTCGATGTAGCGGACTATCACTTTTAAACACCGGGAGGCTCGAAAAGTTTTCAGGCGACTGAGGAGCGTGTAGCTTTAGGAATTTCAGCCTTTGGGAAGACGACAACAGCTTATAGTTAACAAACAATGCTTGTTTAAATATTCCTTTACTAATAACATGAAAAGAAGCCGACGAGTAGTGCGCTAGGCAAATGTAAACAAATTCATGGAGATATGTTATACCTCCGTTTTGGTATTGTCGAATTGATTTGTGTATTCGTGGGATAGTCAATAGTTAGCTTTACATTTTGGCATTTCTATATTACTAACGCGTTAACATGGCAGAGCACGAAAGTTTGGAGTTCGGAAAGGCGGACTTTGTTCTTCTGGACAATGTGTCTTTGGAAGAGTTTATGGCCAACCTCAAACTCAGGTAAGATAATTCACTTATACTGGGATCCCAGTTGCCACTTGCTTTTGTACGGGACAGGTATCATAGTGGTACCTGTATTCTGTATTTTTGCTTTGGATTTTGAAGTCGAATCTCAATTATTAAAAAAAAAAATCAACTCTATTCTTCACTTCTCTTCTTCACTTCTGTCTAAACCACACACACACACACACTCACCCTCACCCACACCCACAGTCATATCAATATGTGATGCAGGTTAGTGTTAGGCCTACACAGTTACATTGTGATTATATTTCTGAACTGTACTCATACTGTGAGCTAGCAACTACAAATCTAAATCATCCTCATTGCATAATGCATTAGCTAGGATCTACTGTGGTCAGATGAAGGTGTAATTCAAAACATCTCGCAAAACATCTTGAAGAGTGAATCATATAGTTATTGACTCATATTTTAGAGAGTATATAATACAGCTGGAGTAAACTAGCCTTAAGTTTTTCAGGTCAAGGGAACAATGAATTACACATTTAATGTCAACATTAAAGGAATTACTGGCATTGTTGTATTTGCTGTGTCTGTTGTAGCTTCATACAACTGGCTGCACCTGCTGAGCCAGAGTGCTGTATGACAGCCTCAGAGGTGTGTTGGCCATGGCAACACCCACCTCTGATCGGCCTTATTGTTCAAACAAGTTTGCAGTGGATATCCTGCTATTGTGTTTTATGTTTTTGTTGATGTGGATCACATTTCCTCATCAGCACAGTGTCAATAAATGACTTGCTGGCTCTTATAAGGTGAAGGTGAATGTAGTTTGAGAATTCAGCACTTTTTGTTAATGGTTAAAATAACAATGCCATAAAATCACAAAATCACTTCTCTGTAATGTCACTTAACTAGTGATAGTGACCTATATGTTGTTGTCTCACAAGGACACTAAATTACCTTATAGTTCTGGTGATATTACAGTTCGTGTTTTCCAGTAAATTTTTTTTAAAAATTAAAAATAAATGTTTTTGGATCACATAATAAGCTATAAATAATAATAATTTCAAATGTGTAAATACCATTGAAATTGAAGTCAGTCATAAAGTTGAGCTCCTTTTTAAAACCATAAATTATTTAATAAATAAATATAATAAATGATATTTTTAAATATATTATAGAAAATTATTTTAAACAGTAATCATATTTTTCAATATGACTCTTTTTACTGTATTGTTACTGTAGCATAAGACTTAAAAAACATGAAATAATCTTACTGACCTAAACCTTACTGTTCAAAGGTTTGGGTCAGTAAGATTATTTCATGTTTTTTTAAGTCTTATGCTACAGTAACAATACAGTAAAAAGAGTCATATTGAAAAATATGATTACTGTTTAAAATAATTTTCTATAATATATTTAAAAATATCATTTATTCCTATAATTTGTTGTACGACAGCAGATTAGTGCCACGTTAAAAAATAAATCTAAGATTATGAGATTAAAGTTGTAATATTTTGAGGAAAAGTCAAAACTACAAGAATAAAGTCATAATATGAGAATAAAGTAAAAATTACGCGAAAAAAGTTGAAATATTTTGAGAATAAAGTTGAAATATTTTGAGAATAAAGTCAAAATTACGAGAATTCAGTTGTAGCAATTACGAGATTAAAGTTATAATATTTTGAGAGTATAGCCTATATTGAGCATGCAAATGGTCTGGATTGGGAACACTGGGAAAAATTCCGGTGGCCTGGCAACTGATTTGAATATATGTGGGATTATATACGTGGGATGTGTCATATACTCGCAGGGACAGTATGCTTGGAAATAATATTTCAAGTCTTCGAATGCATTCATTATTTGTAGTGCGCCAGTCACTCAATAATAACAATAAGCTTTGTGCTTTTAGTACTTTTAATATAAAACAAAGTCTCAGCTTTTAAACTCTGTCAGTTTTATAGCAAATACAAACAATATTCTTTGCAATAATGTGTTTTTCACGCTCTTTAATGTGGCGTGACAGATCGCTGTATTCGTCTCAGTTTAAGTGGCATCTTTTAGATTACGAGATATTCGATTGAAAAGTGAATTTTTCAAACACCATGTGGATGCAGATAAACAAGTTGGCCATTAATTAGCAACAGGAGATGCTTACTGGTTCCAGTGACTCAAAAAGCACAAGGTGTCTGTTTTTTCCCACCTCTCAGCCATGGCCTGATTTTCTCCCTGGCTGGGAGATGGCGTGTGCAGTTTGTTATTTGCAGAGGGTGTGACCCGGCCAGCTTCTTGCTTCTTCAGTCTCCACATCTGTGTCTGGGGCTTCAGCTGGAAGAGCAGCAGCTATGTGATGCCAGATCACACCCTGTGCCCTCTGGAGTGATAAAGAAGAGTGCTGTTGAACTGGAAATCACTTTTTATGTGATGCCTTTTGAAGGCCGTTTGCTTTGAATTCAGGAAGAACATACAGTATGTGATGTCAAAGCAAAGCTCATTTGGATAATGTAGATACATTTTATCCAGTGAAATATTTATAGTCAGCCAGGATTTGCTCCGCCAAAGTAGCTCCTAAATATAACAAAATTGAAATGCAGCCTTTCTATAAAAGACAGAATGTTTAACCAAGAGATTTAAAGCAAATTTTTCCAATCTGTTTAGTTGGGTTTTATGGTTTAAGCTCTTTACAGTGAGGTGTCAAAGTTAAACAAGTGTCAGGACTGCTGACACATACTGTACATTGTAACATGATTTGAACTCTGTGCCCATGACTGTTTACACAACGTCATTTTTTTTAACAAGAGTTTGTGTGGGCACTCTGAAATAACAGCTTAATTTGATGTGCGCTGAGGGCTTGACTTTATATGGCAGTGTTGTTTGGTCTGCCCCTAGGATCTTGGGGAGGTTTTTGGCAATCCTCTGCACTTTTCCAAAAACAATTACAAGTGCTGCCTGAGACCATGTTCCAAATTCTTCCAGACACTGGCTCTGATACTGCAGATGAAATAGTTGATAATCAGTATGCCGTGGCAGAGCCTTCCAGCTTTCATGTGTTATTCAGACGAAAGTCAAGTCTAAAAATGTCTTCAGCAAACTAGTAATTTTCATAGTTTGAACTTGTGGTACTGTATACTTTATGTACTGCATTTAATAGATGAATCTTTACTTGATAGTCTTGACATTTTCCCTTTACTTAGATGATGAGTTTAACCTTTGACTCTTTTGTAGTTGCACTGAGTGGCTAGAAGTGACGGGAAGAATGGGCTCAGGAAAAGACTATTGGCAACTTATGAGGCCTCACTGCTCTTCCTATTGACATTTTCCTGTACTAAAGATGTAAACTTTGACCCTCACAGTTCTTTAAGGCACTAGCAGCTAGTGTAATGGGCTTGATTGATTGTTCCAAAGTCTTTGTGTTTTGGTCGTTCTAAAAGTGAGAAATGGAAAAAAGGACCAATTGATTGAATGCTTATTAATTATTATTGTATCTTGCAGTGGTTCTCAATTTATGTGTCATGCTTGTCACCGACAGCAGGGAAAAACAATTCTGAATGCAAATAATAAAAAGCAGCTAACCATATAATCATGCATATTTCAAAAGGCAGAATATATTAGGCTTAGGCTATACCTTTGACAGAAAGGGGAACACACCCATGTTTTTAATAATACAGTATATAATACAAGTTATATTGTGAAATTATTAATTATTACAATTTAAAATAACTATTTTCTTGTTTAATTAATTTTGAAATGTAATTTATTCCTGTTTTCAGCAGTCATTACTCCAGTCTTCAGGGTCACACGATCCTTTAGAAATCATTCTAATTTGTTGATCAAGTTAAAATTCTTATTATTATCAATGTTGAAAACAGTTGTGCTGCTTAATATTTTTGTGAAAACCACAATGGTTTTTTTCTAACTTGGTAAAATGACATTATTCGGGTATTTGTTTCTTCATATGGTCCCACTTAAAACAATACACATCTTGGTAAACCAACATCTTAATAATTTTACATATTGTTATGGAGTTAATATTTAATTTAAAGGACTTTATTGTTAACTTTTGTCAACTTCTTGTTACTAGATGTAAAATGTAAAATCTGCATCTTGAAGCAAAGTTGAGATGAGAACCACAGTTGTAATATATCTTGCTAGTCATCTGTTTTTCAGGTTTATTGTCACAGGGGTCTATTTCTTCCCATTTTCTAAGAAAAATTACACATGTAGTGCAGATGATTGCTTAAAAATTGACGTGCTGTGTTGTGTGGTCATAGAGTGGAATGAGGGAGACTTTCAAAGCAGAAGGCTGTAAATCTGTGCAGTTTCCTCACAGCTTTTTATCCGGGTCTTTGTTGAGCAAAATCAGCCGGATGATGGCCGTAAAATAGGGGTCTAAGGTTAGGTTAAAGAGCGCTACAGGAAATCGTGAAAATTGAGCCCATATCCTTGTTTCTGTTCCATATTTACAGTATGGTGCCACTGGATAAATACAAACTGGAGACAAATATAAACTCAAGCAAGCGAATGAATTCCAGCCTCTTTTGTGTCTTTGAATGAAATTAACCTTTTATAAGTCCTCATGGGGAAGATCACAAAGACACCATTTATAATAGTGGTGTTTGAATTTGATCTTCCTGTCGTAGTTTTATCTTGAGGATTTCAGTTCTGTGAAGCTGTTGGCTGAACAAATCTAAGACTCTCCCATATCAACAGTATAAAAGCTCACTTGTTGCTTTAACAGCAGGGCCACGTGGAGTCCAGCTGCCACACATGGCAACCCGATTTCCATCCTGCACAGTGAACTGCGCAGGGATCAAAGTCCTCTCAGAGCTCAGGTGCACTGCGCAGGGCCAGAAACAAGGTCAAAGGTTTTATTTCCTTATCATGTAAGGATAGATGGAGCAGCAGAGATATGATTTGGCCTGTAAGGAAGAATGATACATTTACAGATCTTTTTATGGTCAGTGCTTTATGTGTATATTTAGGTACTTTGACCAGCACTGCTTATTTTTAAAGGTCCTCAGTGTGAGAGAAGAAGAGAT